CCGGAGTTCTCAGCGCCGAAACCACTGAAACCCTAAACCGTTGGACTCGAAGCCCCGCTGAACACCATGAAACTAGGTCTAGGTTCCTGAGTAGTATCCTTTTTGTGCAAGGGCCCCCTTATTAAAACCAAATAGCAGGAAAAAGAGTATCCTTATTGATACAGGGGGCTACCCAGGAACCTAGGAAAGCAGGAGCTTGAGCCTGGTTTGCTAAGTTGGATGAATCAAGGATTCTGGGTTCATGGTTTTCGGCTCTGTCACGCCCAGGACCCCGAACATATTTCCACAGTCTGTACCGTATGGTAACTAGTCGTGGGTAGGCCCCTAGCCTAGGTTTTGGGTTTCACGCTTTCCGGCCTAGACTTTTTCAGACCCAAATGCATAAAAGCCCATGAAAGAATTTGCAAGAAAATTATTATGGCTCCTGAATTGAGGCGGGACCCCCCCTCAAAAACACACAATTCCCCACTCCCTCTCGGTTGACAGGAAAGCAACCGAGGCGAGTAAGCTAAAAAAAGACAAGAAAGGCGTCGGTGAAGCTTTTCAGTGTGAGGGTTTTGGTATTTAGGGCTTTTGGGATTTTTTGCGGTTTGGTGGGTTTGGGGTGTTCATGGCGTAGGGCCTTCTGGTGTCTGGTGTTTACATTGAACTCGTCGAGATGCTTCTGCGGTTCACTGCTTGGGTAAGCCGCCCCGGTGCAGCATAGGAGATGTCTCAGGTTTCATAAACAGCGCAGGTGGCGCATCTCATCTACCGTAGTATTACGTACATGAATTGGTTTGATTTCTTCCCTAAGATTTTGAATGCTAGGGTATGACATGTCCTAGTAGTCGGGACAGGGTATGACATGAGAGACCGGTGAGAATCACAGCGTTTAAGGTTTAGGGTTGGCTTGAGGTTAAGAATTCTGACTTGCTGCTTGGATCTCTCGGCTTAGTGTTCAAGATGTGGGAGTTTCCAAAAAATTGGGGGTACTTTGTTTTGGGGTCCTTGCAATAAGGATCCTACTAGCTAGGATGCTATATTGGGGTCCCCGATATTCGGAAATTCCCATGGTCTCAGCTGCAAGAGTACCAGTTTTCATCACCAGACGCATGCGACAGCAAAAGGGATCAGAATTCGAGCTTGCGCTAGCTCAGGGTCGTCGTCTCGGTACTGTAGGGGCCTAAATAATTACCACTACTATTTTGGTGGTTTATTTTTATAGTTATAGTATATGACTAAGGCCCTTATTGGGGGCTGCATTAGGGAGACCCCTTAAACGGTACCCTTCTTAACCCTACTTCTGGCTCTCTCAAAGGAACCTTATTGAGGGATTTGTATCCCCAAAAAGTCCCACTAATCCTAACTCCTAAAGTTTGGGGCTTGTTGTTGAGAGTCGATCTCCTAGGATTGTGGAGCAAAGGGTTTGGGATGGACTGGATCTCACCACCGCGTGCTCGTGGGTCCAGGCAAGAAAAAAGAGAAGAAGGCCAAGAAGAGCAAAAAGGACAAAAAGGACAAGAAGAAGAAGGCCGTGACTTTCCGAACTGGGGATATTTAACGAAGCGACGCAGACAACAAACGCACATGAAGTGACCGAGTTCCGATGCATGCGGTTTGTTCTGGAAGCATGCTGTAACCCTGAAAGCGTGTTCTGCTTGTTGAAGTTCTGCCGGGACGGAAAGGTACCTAGGCTAATCAACCTTTAAAGGTGTATCTGGAAGGGTCCTGATATAGAAGCTTGGATATTTGCGAAAACCATGCCGTAGGGTTCCTGATTGTAAGTATCTATAGAATACTCTACCCCAAACACCCTATTCTCATCATCAAGATTTGCTATTACTTGTAATGTCGGATACCCGAGACGACGAATGGAGTCCTCGTATATTTCCACCAGGCGTGCCGTTCAGGGGTCCGACAGGAGTCCCCGATACAACATCCTGGCACTAAATATCCCAAACTCTCCTTTATGATTCTTAAGGTCTGAATCCTAAACACTGATTCCAAAATCTGAGGCCTTTCAGCCGTTAAGGGCCGTAAAATGCTACACCCTGCCAGCGAGCCTCAATCACGACTGTGCATTCCTGGGAGGGGCTGCTTTGCGACTGACATAAGGCAATCATACTCGGAACCGATTCTCAATATTGCCGTATAGCGACTGAAATATCATAGTCATACTAATTTCCCCAAGTCCTAAAGCCGGCCCAAAACCCCCCCCAAGCCTTGTAGAAGCCCCAAGGGATAGCTTTGCTTCTAAATCTCATGGAATCCTGAGGCTTGATCTTGCCTGTGGGATTTCCCACGCTGTAGCAGAAGAGCTTCAGGGGTTTCAATGGGTTTAGGGGTTTAGGGTTAATGCTTGTTCAAGAGTTTTCCTATCTGTAGTTTTACGAGTGGCACAGATGTTGCCCTTCGACCAGGCCTGACGCTTCGAGTGGCTGTGTGAGAGAGAGGAGTTTAGGGTTAATGCTTGGTAGCATGCAACTCCAGCAGGAGGTTTGGATGCAAAAAGGTTTATTCTTGCGATGCATGAGGGTTGACATTCCATCTCCAGGAAGCTTGGCAGTAGAGCGGTTCAGCAGCTTTCCTGGCTCGGTTGAACACAAGCAGGCAAAGAAGGGCAAAAAGGACAAGAAGAAGAAGGCGGAAACAGAGGGTGTGGGCTAAGCAGAGCCAGGGGAGCAATGGTTTAGCGGTCGGGGTTCGGGGTAGGCCTGGATGCACAAAGTAGTTTGGGGTTCAGGGTTGGCAGGGTAGGTAGGACGGTAAAAAGTTTCGGTTGTCTTACACCTTTGCTATCGTCAAGGACCTTGCAGCGGCGACCTTTGAAACTTTACCCGGGAAGCCCTAAAGCCAACGAGCCTAAAGTCAAGCAGCGCCCACCGGCAGAAAGTCAACTTAGGTACCTTACTTAGGACTTACGGGCTCTTATTCTTCAATCCCAAACCTTACTAACCTTACCCTATTCCAAGAATTCTAGTTTTTTGGGATCCATACCAGGGTCGCTTATGGCAAGGAGGCATTATGCTCCGACCTCGAGCCTCTTAACCTGAGGTCTCGGGAGACCAGGATCTGGGTTTATTGGGGTTTAGGGGATAGGGCTTTGGACTTAGGCTTTGGGTTTGGGGTTTAGGGTTTGGGGTTTTGGGTTTCGGGTTTGGTTTAAGGGTTGGGGGATATAAAATGGTGGCATGGCAGGGTTCATGTCATTTGCACGCACTGGTCCTAAAGCCTATACCCTAAACCCTAAACACGTCGAACCATCCCCTCCGAAAGCTTCAGCCGTCATCAACCTTTCACTCGAAAACTCTAGAGCCTTCAGCCCTGTGCAACGTGGTGCCTGAACCCGCTCGGTGCCCCAAGCTCAAGAGACCTTTGTCCGTACAATGCCCCACACTCGAAACCCTCTAGCCCTCACTCCCCAACAGCTCCGGAAACCCCTAAACCCCAAAGGATTCCGAGTGTGAGCGCCGAAACCCCAAACGTGCCAGAAAGGCCTAGACCCGAAAGGCTTGAATTAACTGCCTTACAGAACCCTTGGAGGAGCTTTCATGGAAACTCTTCATCTGGATAGCAGTATAGTCTTATAGCCTTGTGGCAACTCTCCAGGGCTCTTCCAACAAGCTTCGAAAAGCCCTCATCCTACGTAAGCTACGCCATTTCATTCTAGGGCACCTTGTTGGGGGCCCAGTAAGGGAACTCTTAAATGCCAGAACAAACCCTAAATCCCCTACTCAAACTTACCCTGCAATGTGGGCTTCGTCCTTGCTAATTAGGTGGGCAAAAGAACCCTTAAATGAAAGTCCCAAAATGGACCTTCACAGGCAAGCACAGACTCCTCGGCATCGTCGTCGGATGACTCTGATGATAGCTCCGGCTCCTCCTAGCATCGGGTTTCGGGTTTAGGTTTAGGAACTTAGGAGTTCGTGGCAAAAGGGGGTCAAGGCTTTAGGATTTACTGTTCCGGGTCGTCTCATACGGATAACCATGATATCAGGCTTCCTTTTTAACGGGTCTTGTAAGGGTTCTAAAACCAGAGGGTTGCGTGATATAGGCGACTTAGCAAGGGTCTATGAACAATCTAAACAGAACCACGGAACCCGAAGGAAGACTATTGGTGGCAATTGTCCAGGCTGCTACATCAGTCGCAACAGTGGTTTTGGGGTCCTGGGGTATGCGTACAGGCTAGTGGCAGTAGCGGTAGTAGCAGCAGCCACGGGATCTTGGGTGTGGAATTTGTACGCAGTTCCGCACCGAAAATGAAAGACTCCCGCAAGGAGCCCACAATCTCAGACAGTATATAGGTTTGCTGTTGAACTGTTACGGTTTTGGTTTAGGGGTTGTTGCGAAATCTGAGGACCCTAGACCCTACGTGTAGCCTGTAGCTCCAAACCCCATAAAATAGTAGGTCGTGACCCTTTCAGGGCAATCCCTCAAAGCAGTAGGTTCTTGGATCTGCAGGTATGCCCTGAACCCCTTTGCGGCTCCAACTCTAGCTGCCGATGCAAAGAAGCCGGATGTCTGCAGACTCGGATCGCATCGAAAGACTTGCCACGCCGGTTGAGAAAAAGCAGTGGGGAAAGAACCCATCGGTTTATGATACATAGGGTTTGGTGTAGACGGCACTGAAGCGAAGGAACTGGGAAGTGATGCATAGGTACCAGATATAGCACCCTCGAAAAGTCTAGTTATTCTACCAAAAGTCTTGGTTCAGGTTTGATTGCCCGCAATCATCCTGACTTCCCACCATCTCACCCGGCTTCTGCTTGCAGATCTCCTGACCCTAAAACAAGAGGGATTTGTGGCGGCAAAGGCCTTAGACAACCTTCAGCCCAAATCACCAAACCTGGAAGCAGCACTAATGTGGGCGCCTTAATGTTTAGGATAGGGTGAATAGGGTTTTGGGGGTTCCTTACTATAGTTATAGTACAACATACCCCCAAACCCTATTCTATTTATTAAGGCCTCTACACTAAATCTCCAGAGATTCCGATCGACGAATGCCGCGCGGTGTACAG